TAAAATTGAAATAAAAAAGGAGTTGGTCACAAGATTTTTAGGCATTTACATTCATGAAAATATTGCATGGAAGTATCATATCGACTTTATTTCTACTAAATTGGACAAAAGTGTTGGAATTCTATATAAGGTCAGATACTATCTAAGTAAACAAAATTTAGTTAAACTCTACTACTCATTTATTCATAGCTATATAAATTATGCGAATATTATTTGGGGAAGTGTCTCTAAAAGTAAGTTGAGAAATCTCTACCATCGTCAGAAACACACAATGCGTTTAATATGTTTTGAAAATTGTTTTTCTCATTCAAATATTTTATTTAAAAACGTTAAAGCACTTAACGTTTACAAACTCATCGTCTATAATATCTTATGTTTTATGTTTCGTTGTAAAAGTGAACAACCATTGTTCATTTTTAAAGATCTTTTTACCCATAAAGCTATAAGCAAATATACTTTACGAAATAATAATCTATTAATTAAACCCTTTAGTCAAACAAAGTTTAATCAATTTTACATAAGCTATCGAGCAACGTATTTATAAAACAAAATTGTTGTTCCTAATTTTGATTTGTCAATTTCGTTTTCCGTTTTTAAAACTAAATTAAAAAACTATATTCTAACTACTAGCAGTATATATAAGTATTTTTGAAATATAAAATTATTTTCGCTCTGGATAATTTGTAAAATTATTTTCAGTCTTTGTTTATTCTCCATTATCAATTGTATTTTTAGTTTATTATATATACACGTTTAATATATTTTATATGGTTCTGGCAACAAGATCTTTTGAATCTTGTCGAAGTTTAGATATTGTTATATTGTTATATTACGATTAATAATTGTAAACTAAAAAAAAAATAAAAAATAATCAAACTGATTGATCATTTTAATTTGGACTTATCCCAGAAAACTTAAAGTACTGGTTTTTAACTAGTATAATATTACAATCAACTATGTAATTGATATTTTATTTTATTTCTTCAAAATTGAAATGCTTATGTAGTTTAACAAAAAGCAGTTATTTAACGCGTTTTAATTTAGGCGGTTCTCGGTGAGTAAACCTTACGGTCTTCTTGGAGCTTTCTTGTTCTTTATTTATGTTATATAACTTTTATACTGTTAGGGTCTATATAGGGTTTTTCAGCTAAATTAACATGATGGTGAACTAATGAGTTTAGTATAAACTTTACACTCCTTAGAGATTATTATTGAAAATTAAAATCACGAATAGCCATTAAGACATGGCTTTAAAATTAGAGCATCTTAAAACCACATAAAAATTCCGTGTAGGCATTGGCAAAGGGTTTTTTCCGGGCTCAAACTACTTCGCTGAAATTGAAAATATATATGAGATAATAAGTCTTTTCAATGGGTTTAAACCACTGATGTCAAAATATAACAAAATAAAATGGTTATATTTTGAGATCAGTGGGTTTGAACCCAATTAATTTAATTTCACAAGTAAAACATGTTTATACATTTGGAAGTTTCAATATCGAACTTATCGATCAAAGGAACGAGATCAGCAGTTTAGGCAATATCTCGGTGAGTTGTCTTTTTGTAGTTAGAGTAGCATGTAATAGTTTGAATTATCTACTCTTTTTCCAAAATTTTCAAGGTCTTGCATCCCATATTTGCATTATATCAGGTAGGAATATTTATTCATTCAGTAAACAAATTTATATAATGGTTGATAGTTAATAGAAACTTTTCTTAAACGAGTTTTACGAACTAATTTTTTTTTTTTTGGTGCTGGTTAAGTTGTCAAAAATATTTTTATGACTTTTATGTTCAAATACTTACACTTAAACACATTTTTTTTTTTTTTGTTCTGATTTTTATAAAAACAAAATAAAAATTTTTTGAAGCTGTATATATATTATAAACATAACATATGTAAAGATATTATATACCAGGGCCGACGACACGGGTTTCAAAGTGTGTGTGTGGAGGGGGGGGGGGGGGAGGGGGCACAATCGTCAATTCTTAAAAAAAGTCTTCTATATCTAGAATTTTCTTAATAAAAAAAAATATATAAAAAATAAGACCCTTTACCTGTAAGCTTACAATTGTTAATTATTCTAAACCATTGAGGAAGTGGGAGAGGACAACTTTTATAATGCAACTTTACATGTCAATTATTGTCAATGCTTATTGATTCAATAAAAGGAGTGGAGTCTGCAAAAAATAAACGGCAGTATAAAACAAAACTTTCATATCTTTGAAAACTAAACCCATTTGGAGAGTTAGAGTTATGAAGCATATCAATATTTTTTTTTTATCCATTTCTTGAAATGTATGAATTTCATCTGGAATAGTGAATAGAATTTCGTTCAGTTAGACATTTTCGAAAGTTAAGAACTTTAGGCTTTATTGAAGATGGAATGCCATTTTCATCAGAATAAATGGTTGGAAAAGGGTTTAACTCATGTCTTAAAGTAACTCGTTTCCCATATTTTAAATACTTTAGTTCAAAATGATCCAAACATATAACTGAATGTTTACTTGGCTTCCATTTTTTTCTGTTAATAAATTATATCCATTTTTCTTTTAAATCTTTAGGGAAACTAAAAACAGATTTACTTGCCAAAAGAAAACTAAATTTACTTGTATTAGATTTATAACCAGTTCAATAATTAACAACTGTACATTTATTCATTATTATAATTCATCATTATAATCTCCCCAAATTAAAAAAAAACACAATTAACTAACAGTGCCGAAATGCAAAAAACTGGCCTTCTAATTTTCGGCCTAATTTAAAAGCGACGATGTCTGTGATAACTATCGCAATATAGTCAGTAAAAGGTCTATATAACATTAAACCGTTTAATGCTATATAGACCAAGATTAAGAGATTCAAGGCCAAGGCCTACGCAAACGTTTTAAAGACCAAAGAATTAAATTTTTGCATTACGCCAATTATTAACAAAACTGTAAGTAGCAAGTGCTGTGACAATAAAACAAATTTTATAAAAATAGACCAAGGTTATGCGCAAAACTCAACAAAGTCAATAAGAAAATATACTTGTAGATATATATGAAAGCGGAAAACAAAAATACATAAAAATGAGCGGGTGACAGGACGGCACGTGACGTAAAAAAGACGTCTTTTAAACGTCTTTTACACGTTTTGGACGTCTTTTGAACGTCTTTTAAACGTTTTGGACGTCTTTTGAACGTTCAAAAGACTTTTTTTTTTAGGTCCGGTGCCAACTGAGTAAAAAGACCTAATGTTGCAAAAAAAAAAAAAAAAAAAAAAAAAAAAGAATAGTGTCGCAAATGAATTTAATGAATAGTGTCAAAACGAAAAAAAAGGAATAGTGTCGCAAAAGAATTTAATAAATAGTGTTGAAAATTAAAAAAAAGAGTAGTGTCGCAAATAGTAAAAGGAATAATGTCGCAAACAGTAAAATCGGAATAGTGTCGCAAATAGTAAAAACGGAATAGTGTCGCAAATGGTAAAAACGAAATAGTGTCGCAAATAGTAAAATCGGAATAGTAAAATAGTAAAAACAGAACAGTCCCAATGAACACAGATGTAAATAAGACGTTTCTTAAACGTCTTATAGACGTTTCATAAACGTCTTGAAAAGACGTCCAAAATGTTCAAAAGACGTTTTGGACGTCTTTTGAACGTTTTGGACGTCTTTTCAACGTTCAAAAGACGTCATTTTTTGCCCACTGGGGTATCGCAAATAGTAAAAATGTATACATACCTTTACTAACATCATCTGCTAAAGACGGGTTGTTATCTGAATCTGAATCATCACAATCACTTTTCATTAGAAAGTGTTTCAAATCTGAACTGTTTATTTTTTCCATATTAAATGTGGGATAGGTAACTTTTCCACAATTCAAAATTTATTTTTCTCATAAAGTTGATAGTTTATTAGTAGTAGCAGTGCCTTTTTTTGTTTTCGACACTATTCCTTAAACTAATTTGCGACACTATTCCGTTTTTTTTGTTTTCGACACTATTCATTAAACTCCTTTGCGACATTATTCTTTTTTCTATTTTCAAAACTATTCATTAAATTCATTTATTCTATTATTCAACAATCAATCATGCGACAATTTGCGACACTATTCCTTTTTCACATTTCCTACAATCAAATTTGCGACGATCAAAATTTTGCGACGTTATTCCGCCACACCAAATGAGCATGAGCAACCGTGGCGAAGTGGTAGCGAACTTGCCTCAGAAACAAAGGATCCGTGGTTCAATGCCTACCTCTGGGCAAGATTTGCGACATTGGTTTGAAAGGAGGCGTAAACTTCCGATCAAATGCTCATCCGCGGTGCCCTGTGATAAGACCGTAAGGATTTTTTGGGGCACCTAAATAAAATTTAAAAAAATGATAATAATTAAGAATGACAACTTTTAATTCTTTAATTTTGTGTATTTTTTTTTAAGGCCAAGGCCAAAACATCAAGACCAAGGCCAATGCCAACAGTTTCAAGGCCAAGGCTTCAATTATTAGTCTTAAGGCAAGGCCGAGGCCAACGACAGACAATTCTTTATTGGAAAAATGTTAGCAAACAGAAAGAAATTAATCAAAGAACGAATCCACGTATTTAGGCTGAGGTTATGAACCCGATTTCAGACGGTTCAAATCTTGTCTCAAACACAGACTATGTAGTCTTTATATTCCAAGATTCCTTGAATGCGTAAAATTTATGTTTGTTATAATAATTAATTATTTATTCTAAAAATTTTAATAATAAATTTTTATTTTAATATTTTTATTAATTAAAGTTTATTTAAAAATACTGTCAAAAAACAATGACACGTTGTCAAATACAATAACACATTGTCAAAATGGGCCATGAAAACTTTTAATAATAAACCATATTGTAATTCAAGCAAAAAAAATTGTCATGCTAAGGACATTGCCGAAAATAATTATCGACATAAGTCTTTAATTCTTAAAGCTTTTTTGAAATTGATATTATATAATTACGAATAACATATTGACTTATTGAGACAAGTACGGAAATCTGACGTAAAAGACACGCTTTACGATGTAGATAACATGGTTTTGGAAAAGTTCAAGTGAAACTAATTATTATATAATAACAAATCAACTTTTTATAGCTAGTATGTCTCATCACACAACGCTAGAACTGCCTTCAAAACCATTAGAAGACTACAAATCAACCATCAAGCAACCAACAGATCAAGTAAATGAAAATAAAAGTTTGACAAACTTGCCAGATTCTGTGCCAATTATGTTAGGGGGGAATCAAGTTAGTATGTATTTAATGGCTGGTGCTGCGGCGGGTATTATGGAGCATTGTGTGATGTACCCAATCGATAGTGTCAAAGTGAGTAATCCATAAATACATTTATCATTTGCATGTATCTGTATCTGTATCATCTGTATCATTTATACACCTGTACATTTTTATATTATCTATTAATAAAATTGATTAAAATAAAAAAAAAGACCAAAAGAAAACCTCTTAAAATATAACTGATAAATTATTAATAAATAGTAAATAACTTTACAATGAAAATATATTAATTACTAGTATCAAGCACAAACTTATATTTAACTTCTGTATTTCAAAGAAACAATTTAATTATTGTATATATTTTTTTATTTTTAGTGTTCCTTCATTTACATTTAGTAAAATGTATTTTTATTTAGTTTTTAATGTTGCTAGAATATATTTAATTGTATATGTACATAATTAAATTGTATATAGTTATGAACAAATATATATAACATATAGTGGACCAAATGTTTATAAACAACCTTTTTCTCCTGAAACTGACAGTCTCAGTTGCTGTGTCAGTGACACAGCGGAGGTGCATTTCAGGCACCCCACTTAGTAAGTCTGTTAAAAATAAGTCACATTTTACGCATAGCATTTGTTTAAAACTATACTCTGACCCTGAACTCAAAACTAAAGTTTATTTTATTAAAAGCCATATCCTAACCAAACCCTAAGCAAACCCTGAGCCTAACTCTAAGGGTTAGGCTCAATAATACTTGTTTGGTATAAGATTTTTTTTCATATAAGACTCTTTTCAATAATACTTGTATTGTATAAGACTTTTTTCAGACTTACTAAAGGCAAAGGGGGTGCCTGAATACACATATAACTTTCTAAATGCTAATACTTGATGGTTATCATACTCTACATGTCAAAATCACCCACTCAGTATTCTTATCTATGATTGGTGCTACTTTTCTCAGCTTTAGTCTCACCACATTCATTTAATTCCCATCTTTGTTCATTCCAGATGCTAGACATCCATCTTTATAAGCCATATTTTAATGCATACATTAAGCGTCGCTCATAATCATCACTCTAGATATGTGTTGTGCATAACTTTTTAAATCTTAATTGATGATGGCTACTCCTTGGCCCAGGAAAATCTTACTTTTGTCTGTGATGCCTTATTTACCCCATCAGCTGATTCAATTTCATCTCTGAGATAACAAAAATTACTAACATTGTTTCAATCTCATTTTCAACTTTATTTTTCTAAATTCCTTAAAAGTAAGTTTTTTACACTTAAAACCAACAATATTAGGAGCACTGTGTTTAATACAAAATTGTGATTCCATTCCTTACAAACTGTACAAACAATAAAATATCCTCATGATTGTGTTCAAAATGTGTTTCTTATAACTTTTTATTTTTTTAGACAAGAATGCAGAGTCTTCGACCAGACCCAAGGGCTGTATATACTAGTATACATCATGCTCTTAAAAAAATAATGCAAACTGAGGGAATATTTCGCCCTTTTCATGGTGTTAATATTGTAGCTTTGGGTGCAGGTCCAGCGCATGCATTATATTTTTCTAGTTATGAACTTACTAAAAAATTATTTGGAAATGATGTCAATGGAGCAAACCTTCCTATTGCTAATGGTAGTAGATTTATTTTTAAATTGTGTTCCATATTGTTTTGAAATATTAATAACAATTTGATTTTTTTTAAATGTATAGCTGCTGCAGGAGCTGTTGCTACCTGTTTTCATGATGGGACTATGAATCCAGTTGAAGGTTACATAATTTTTTTTTTTTTTTTTAAATGTTCAAAAAAGTGTGCTTTACTAACATATTTTGGTATTTTTTTTAGTAATTAAACAGAGGCTGCAAATTTATGGAAGTCCCTATAGGGGTGCGTTTCATTGTGCACAAACCATTTTAAAAAATGAAGGCGTGGGTGCATTTTACCGCAGTTTCACTACTCAACTTACTATGAACATTCCATTTCAATGTGTACATTTTGTTACATATGAATATTTTAGAGAATTATTGAACCCTCCAGGTGGTTATGATCCTAAAACACACCTTTTATCAGGAGCAATTGCTGGAGGAGTTGCTGCTGCCATCACTACACCTTTAGATGTTGCAAAAACATTGCTTAATACACAAGAGCAACGTGCTGTTAGTGAGATAATATCAAACAGCAAAGCTTTACATAGTAAGGGATTTGTAGGAGGTATGTTTTCAGCCTTAAAAACTGTGTACAAACTTCAAGGAATATATGGATACTTTCGTGGTACACAAGCTCGTATTGTATACCACATGCCTTCTTGTGCAATATCTTGGAGTGTTTATGAATTCTTTAAAAACAGTTTGTCACTTAAAATTTCAGATGAAGAGATAATGGATCTTACAGCATAATTATTATTGAAATAGTAGTTTTCAAAGTATTTCACCTGGTTTGCTGTTGTGTTAAAGAATGTGTTGGTGAATTAGTTAGTGAAGCAATTGTTGCTAAACATCCATTCAACTCAATTTTGTATTGACTTGATTTGGAATTTAGCTTAGAATGCTTTGTTGCAATTTAATGCTGGTAATTAAAAAAATTATTCAAAACTTTTTTAACTTTTTCAACATTTTTTTTTTGTTTTGTTCTTGATGATAATAAATTTTTATTAGTCTACATAAAATAGTTATGAAAATTATTTGTATGTGTTGTCTGCATAAAGTGGTTATGAAAAATATTTGTATAAAAACTCGGATAAATTTACAATGAAGTTCAAAAATCTTTCTACTTTTATTAATTAGATGTAATTAAACATAAAATATCAAGGAGAAACCGTTCTGAAAAACTTTGTATCTGTTGTTTTTTAATTTTTTTTAAAATAGTGAATTTTTAGTTTTCCAACAGAAGATTCGCAATTTTCCCCCAAAATTAATGTTTCAATCGAAATGACAAACAAATGTCATCTGTAAATTTAAAAAGTTTCTGAATATTAATTTAGTTACAAAGTATTAAATTCATTTTAAAATTGTTGATTGAATTTAAAAGTTTATTGATCAAATTTTCTTAAAACTCAAAGTGAAAAAAAAATTACTTGTTTATTATTTTATTAAACTGTTTGTTTTTTGTTTTTTTTTTTTACAGCTAATTTTATTTGTAAAATTTAACTAATTAGCTTTAAATTTTCAAAAACACTTTGTTAAATAAATTTTAAAATGAAAATATAATATACTTGATAATGGGTCAAATAATAATTTTTAAATACGTATATATACTTTTAAACTAACACACACATTTTTGAATAAATATTTTTATATTATCCTTTTTAACTAAGTGCTTTAATTTTTAGCAATTATTTATTAAATAATTTTGTGAGTATATGTGTGTTAACAACTATATAACGTGTTTTTCTTTATTATTATCATTATTATTATTTATTTATTTGTTGAACCATAACCATAAACCATTTTTATCTAAAGTAACAAATTTAAGAATATAGCGCGATTTTTAGATGGAATGGATTTGAATTTCTTGTTTAATGTTGTTGCTTCTTTTTTTTCTTTTTTTTTTTTTTTTGAACTTTGTCTTTTCTGAGGACTAATTATGCAAAATTTGAATGTTATTTTCAACAATTTCAATAATTTTATAATCAATGCCTTAACTAAAATTAATTTGTTTAAGAGATCTGCTCACGCCTAACGCATTATTTCTCTCTCAGGAAAATTACAGTTGAGTATAATTTAGGTTATTCTTCAATGTTAACGATTCTTTACTCTCTCTTTTCTTTCTTGCTGTTGCGCTCTTCCAGCAATGGTTTTGTCTACTTTATATTGTGTCCAATAAAAGAAGTCATCGTTAATCGTGAAATTCTCAGTGGAAAGCCAACTTGCAATTAAACTTGCAATTAAACTTTTTGACAAAATCATATATGGGCCGGAAAATGAAAAAAGTAGTCAAATTATATTCTATTTTTGTCAACTTCTAGCAAGTTAATATTGATGTAGACCCATGAAAGTTTATTTAAAATATACCTTAAGTACTAAAATTAAGTCATTTTTATGCTTCTGAAAGTTACGTTTTTTTTTCTTGTCGCATTATAAAAAAGTATCGTTGTAAAATTTTATTTTAGCCATGAATTTCTTTGTATAATCGAATTAATTTAGCGTGAAAATGTTCAAATTGTTGTTGGTCAGATTTTATACTTAATAAAATATATACATTTGAAGAAAATAACGAAAGAGCTTATGCAATTTTCATGTAACGTAAGTTAACAAAAACTGATAGTTTTGTTTTTTCTAAAATTTCGTTTCAAAACTTTAGTTTTTTAATAATAAATTTTATGTTTTTACATTTAAAGTTTTGAATAACGATGCTTAGTTAAAGCACATTTTCATTTTGAATTTGTGTAACGTAAGTTAAAACTACATGCTACATGCATTAGAACTTCACGCCATTTGTTCTGGCGCTTTTTCGTTATCAAAATGAAGTACGTCACTTAGTAATTCTTATTTCATCACGTTGGTTTATAACTAAAACTTAAGGGGCTACCCCCCTCTGTTTTTAAATCTAAGTATTTTAAAAAAAAAATGTTATGGGTTTCTAGGTTTTAGTAAAATATAAACCTTTTTAAAAAAAAATTGGTGGTTTCCTTGGTAACCAAAAAATACCCCTAAAATGACCAAAAAATAACTTTACGCTGGCCAAAATATAAGAATATGTGTACATATTTACCTTTTAAAATTTTAATACAATATTATCATAAAGTAGGGCTGTGAAATGAATGGATCAGATTTTTCATAACATTTTGCCATCATCAAAATGGCGCAATCAAAGATCATGGTCAAAATTTTCATCGATTTTAGGTCATATATATATATTTTTAATAAAATAAATAAATTCCATTCCATTCATTTCACAGAGTATAATATGATAAACACTTCCTGAAAATTTCATATAAAAATGTAATACGGTTCTCCAGATAATTTGGCCGGCGTGCACAAATTTCTATTTTGAGAAAAAGACGATTTAAGTCAAAAATTTTGAAAACAATACAATTTTTTTCATAAAAACTGTTGAAAAATAAACAAAGTTTTTAAAATCCACCAGGAACATACAAGTCACCTTCTTTTTCAAGTATTTTCTCATTCTTCTTCAGTTTCTTGGCATGTAGTACTTGCCTTCTTAACTTTTTAAAGAGGGTTCATTCTAATTTCTGCTTTTTGGAATCTTTCATTATTTAATGATTTGCATCCTGCAATCATATGAAAGCCATGTCCAGTTGCTTCAAAATATCAAAGTTCCATGTCCAGTTGCTTCAAAATATCAATAGATGCTTTTGCTCCAATATTAAAATTGGCAACAGCATCATATACATCAATTTCTAATTGCGTAAGTGATACGAATGTTTGTTTTGGTATACGCTTCCAAATCATTCCATTAAAAGATTCATTGGCATTTTGTGTCTTACCGTGCAAACATTTTTGTAACTCAATGTCTTTACTTAAATCCTTAAATAAAGGTCTTACTTTCATTATGACATCTATTGGTAAACCCGGCCCTGGCTTATAGGTTGGTGTCTTATTTATTTTATCGGCATTGTATTTGCACCAGCTGTCTGCAGTGTGGGAAATGTAAGCTATTATTTTTTGAGGAAGCAACATGAAATAGTGATGCCAACACCAGTTGGATCAGATTTTTGGGGGCTTTGAGTTAAATTACAACTTTTACAATATCTGGACATGATTTCAACATCTAAAATTTTGCCACTAGCAGTAGAGATGGCAGAAAAGACTCTGTTGAGTGATGAGTATCCTCGTTTTTGCCATGTTCCATCGCAAGATAAACAAATATCGGTTACTTTCAAAGCTGTATTTTGCAATTTATTAGCAGCATTTAACATTGTTCTGCTACAGTTTTATAGCTTTTGAAATTACTTTTATCAGTTTTTCAAAATTGTTTTTGGTCATTGGCTTAGGTAGATTCATAATGGTACATAATTTTTTGATGCCTGCATATCCATGACCCAATAATCGCATACAATAAATTATTTGTTTATTGATATCAAATCCTTTTTTATTGTCATAGTTAGAAGTGTAGAACTTTTGAAAATAGTTACAACCTCTTTTCATACACTTAAGATATAGTAAGGATGATAAACCACGTTGTTAAGTATATCTCTCACTTAGTGAGAGTGTTGAACAACCACACTCTGGACACAGAACAGAACTTAAAATAGACATTAAAACAGCAACATAAATTATACGATAACCAGATATGGCAGGTTTTGAAATAATTGTGTCTTATAAGTTTTAGATTTTATGAGCTGAAGCTGATAAATTAGGTGGATTTTCAAAAATTGGTTCAGTAACACAAATGATGTTAGAGGCACTTGGATTTATTGTCGGCAATTCGATATTAGTACTATCAGATACAATAACAGTATTAACAGAATTTTGGACATTTCCTATAAACCTTTTCCTTTTTTTATGAGTTTGTGTACATTTCTTAACTCGACAAGCTTTTCCCATTTTTACTAGTTAAACTAACCTAAGAACTGACTGAACTGAAGAATATTGTCGTACTTGATGTACCAAGGTATTGGTAAGTTCTAGAAAAACGCATCAAGAAGTTGTTCAAGCTTATGCATTGCAAGTGTAACACTATTTTGGATGAAATTAAGGTAAAAGTATGGTGTATAAAATTGTTTAAGTGCGTTGCTATGGCGTTGCTAAGGAAATTACTTAAGAGGTGGTTAACTTAAATAGACAATTTAAGATAGTTAAAGATTAATCTGATACATCCAAAACAAATTTTATGATTCTGCATAGTTTGAAAGAGTTAAAATTAAAAAAAAAAAAAAATTGAAAATTTTGAAATTTTATGGGGGGATAGCCCCTTAATATTAGGAGAATTTAGAACCATCTTTTATTTATTTTTTTAATGTTAATTAAAATTAATTTATATTATTGTTTTTTATTTGTTTATGTATTTTTATTTTGGTTGATATATAAATAAATAAAAATAAGAACTAAATAGTATTTTTATTTAGACATTAAAAAAGAAAAGATTTATTTGCTAATCTCCTAATATAAGGAAATTAGTTATAACCTTTTTTTGTTTTGTTTTAGTAAAACAAATCGTTTGTAAATGCAATTAAAAGGGGTCATCTCAAAAGCGCGTCACCCTATATTTGTATATAACCCATTCCCTCCTTTCACAAACGATCACATATACCTGAGTCCCCGTAAGTTGTGATTTTTTACGTCAAAAAAAATTTTAAGATTTAAATGTAAATGCTTTACAGCATTTTAAAAATTCAACCTAATGAAAATAATACGCATAAATGTTAGAGGTGTAAGTAAAAACTTCGTCAAAACGAAGGTTAACTTATTTAAATGACTCAATTAAGTATTAATAAAGTTAAAATAATAAAATAATTTTTTTAAATTGCTTTAGGTCTTGTGGAAAATTTGTTTTCGATTTGATAACTATCATAAATGTTATGAGAAATCACTCAGGAAGAGTGCCACCTGTTTTTTAAATTTTCTTTTGTTAATTATGTTTTTAATAAATGAGTTCAATACTTTTGCAATTCTTTTGTAACGTAACTCTCAATAGATATAAAAAATCCACGATAATTATCGCTCGGTAACGTAAGTTAAATACATGTATCAAAAACAGTTTCTTTTCCTTAGCCGGTCACCTCTGATAAATTTTTATATATTTTTTAAATTGGTATAAAATTCTCAACATCTTGTCAAAGTTTATAATACAAACCGCTTTACTGATTCGCAAAAATCTGACCTAGAAGTTGAAGCAAGTGGCATTTTCAGTAATAAGTTCGCCTTC